TGTGTGTGTGTGTGTGTGTGTGTGTGTGTGTGTGTGTGTGTGTGTGTGTGTGAGAGAGAGAGAGAGAGATGGAGAGAGAGTAGCACCTCAGGATTAAAGCACCTTCCTGCTTTTTCTCATCCAGGAAAATTGGATCTTTTATTTAAATCCGAAATCCAATCAGTGAGGACCCAGAACTTCACACCACTGATGTGCCCAGCTACACACACACACACACACAGACATCAGGTGATTGACAGGTATAAACAGTCTGCACTGTTTGACCATTGAAGAGGAGAAAGCTTCATTATGTTCGACTTCATCATGTTTTAGGGGCCATCAGAGCGCACATGAAGGGCACATAGTGAACTTTACTGAAATTTTATTTTAAAAAACATTTTCTTTTATGGTCTTAATGATTTTAAATATCATTTCTGTTGAAGTTTTTGTTTTTCGTGTGTGTGTATTTGTTTTCTTCTTTTCTTAATCCTTAATTCCTCTCATGATTTTTTCTTTTGTTCCCACACTGAACAAACAACCACTGTAAAACAGGAAGTCAATTTCCTGCAATAATCAAATGCAACAAAGTGCTGCAGTGAGAAAAATCACCACTAGAAGGCACTGCAGGGTTGAAGTGATGCATTGTTCCTGTGTGGACTCTGGGTTCGCTTTTCTCCAGTTGTTGTAAAAGTAGGATGTTACTTTAACACCTCTCTAACACTCTTACCAGGCAGGTGTCAGCGTTGTRCCTCTGTGTTCATGACAAGTTGTGCATACTTCTATAAAAGGGGCACGTAATGCAATTTCTATTTATTTTAGAAGCACACAAAGCAAATTGTACATACTATATTTATTCTATATATAAGGTTGTTTATTTTGTCATTTCTTTTGGCTCAGTCCATTTGTCACCATGGTGTTGTCATTTTTATTTTTGTTTTCTGCAAGTGGCCAACTGAGGTGCCTAACAGCAAATCTGCAGAAATACCTCCTAAAACAAAACTTCAGACATAAAATGGCCTTAACCTCCCAGAGCCAAGCGTGACCTGAGTAACAATCAGGAGTTAGGTTTGCCACAGAGTAGTGTCTCTTTAATTAGATGCCATTAATAAACAATTGTTGTTCCATGTGATATAATGACTTTCTCCAACAGAGAGCAGAGACCCTCTCAGCAGACTGCTTCACAGGGCGTTTGGAAATAAACAAAAAGTTCCCAAACACATCAAACATGCCCAGCCTTTAAATGTGGCCTTAGGACTGTGGAAGCAACCAGTGTCCACCTGCTGAGACAAATCCACCCAGTCTGTCCTGTTGTCCAGAAAGGAAGGCTGTCTCTCTGCAGGACTTTGTCATTTGCTGGAAATAAATGACTAGACTATTTTATACACTCCCTCTGTCTCAGTGTGTTTGTGTGTCGATCCTTTAACAACTGCACTTTCCTCAACAGTTTTGACAGGTAAGACTTTTCTGTTGAATCTGTAGATAAATCCTCAGTTTGTTTTCAACCTGTTTCACAAGACTGACGTCCAGGAAACAGAKTGTGCATGCAGAACAGAAAAATGTAAAAACATTTAAATAAAAAGATCGTTAACCTTCATCGTAAACAGCAGATCATTGTTTTAGCTCGTTTGCCAACTGCAGCAGAAAGTCAAAGACAGGCAGAGAAAATAATACAAAAGAGACGTACAGCAGACTGATCTCCTGGGTAAACCAGCAGCAGCTACAGAGGAAGATGATGAAGAAACTGTCCATACTCAGATATGTTCAGTTTTTATAGTAAGAATATTCAGTTAAACTTTTGTCTGTACATATAGAGCACATAAAGCTAAACTCAAAGCCCATGTGCCAAATCTGGTTCTTTATCATTTTTTCTGGCCCCTAAGATAAAAATTTAAACATGAAATAATTTAATTTTTTTGTCACTGGATTTAGCCTGTTCTCATGATAGTTAAGCAACTTTTAAACAAAAAAAATGAAGTTTAAATTTTTCAGTAATCTTTGATCCTTGTGTGGAAACATCTCTATCTTCTGCCGCTTATTGCGACAGAACATTCTGGTTAGGTCGCGAAGGCAACAGGTCCTGAAGAGAAACCCAGACATCCCTCTTTGCAGCTCGTCCTGGGGGACCCAGAGGAGTTCCCAGGCCAGGGAGGATACATAATCCCTCCTGCGAGTCCTCTTCCCCGGGGCCTCCTCCCAGTGGGACATGGCCAGCAAAACCCTAAAGGGAGGCATCTTAATCAGATGAGCCACCTCAAGTGACTCCTTTTGGCTCTACTCTGAGCTGTCAAAGGCTGAGCCCGGCCACACTACGAAGGACGGTCACTTTGGCTGCTTGTATCTAGGATCTCATTCTTTCGGGCATGATCACAGGTAAAGGTGGGAACGAAGACAGACCAGTAAATCCAGAGCTTTGCCTTTCGACTCAGCTTGGCCGCAGAGATGACAGTGCAAAGCAGGACAAAAGGACAGCAGGAGAAGTGGAGAACTTATTTCTAGCTGCAGAACAGGTTGGAAGTAGGGTTGGGTATTGAAAGGGTTTAATTCGATACCAGTGCTAAATCAATATTTTTCAAAATGGTACTGGTTCCTAAACGGTAATAAATAAAACACACACGCTTGGAAGATGGTTATTTTGTGTTATTTGTTTTTTATCATCCTACGGGCACAGATATGTTAAATTAATTTGAAACTGAGGTTTTGAAAAAAATCTGTAAAACTTGAAAAAAATCTGTGAGATTACTCTATACGTCCGTACAACCTGACATGTATGCATCTGCAATGGAGGCTCTGAACATGGCCCATTCGGATTCCATGTCCCTGACCTCCCCCAGGACATATGTGAAAAACTCTCCCACAGGTGAGAGTTAAAGGTCACATGGACAAAGACCTCCCAGTTCCCAATTCACTCTCACTATATGTTTGGGTTTACCAGGTCTGTCCAGCAGCCTCCCCCACCATCTGATCCAACTCAGCACAAGGTGGTGATCAGTTGACAGCTCTGACCTTCTCTTCATCCGAGTCTACACAACATAGGGCAGCAGGTCAAACAACACGATTACAAAATCAATCATTGACCATTGGCCTAAGGTGGCCTAGTTCCAAGTACACTAATGGACCACCCTATGTTCTAACATGTATGTTGTAGACAACCCAAGCATGGTTATCACAGGGTCCAATAACATCATTCAGGTTCAGATCTGAGAAGTCGTTCCTCCAATTCCCCTTCCAGGTAACTGTCATTGCCCACCATGGACATTGAAGTCATCCAGTAGAACAAGGGCAGCCCGCCCCCACTTCCAGGATACAGTCAAAAGACATAGGTCAGGTAATCTGAASTGATGTTTGGTGCATGAGCACAAATAACAGTCAGAACCTTCCCTCTCGCTAACCGGGGTGTGGAAACAGAAAATTAATCATCTTTATCTGTATCTTCTTCCGGTGTTTACGTAAAATGTTTTTTTTTTTTCAGTAAAGATATATACATATATAT